CAGCGAGAAACTCCCGTACCCGGAGGAGTCCTTCAGCTGGCCCCTAAACAAATATGTATACAAGTTCAGTGATAATGGACGTCATACTAAACTCCGAATTATACACAAGAAACTAAAATTAAAAATCATATAAGACTAACAAAGGCCAGTGGCTCCTGACTTGGGACAGGCGCAAAAATGCGGCGGGGTTAAACAATTTTTTTATTTCTCCATGAAAATATTTGCACATGCATGATTTGGGGTTTGGCCCATGGGTATGTATTGGGTCATTTTTAGAGTAAAATGGTAGCCTGGGATCCTGGCTGACTGCTCGACAGAAGAACCAGGCGGAATACAACCTGGTTTGTTAATTGGATATTAGGATTATATTGTTACGAATTCATTGCAAATGATTTTTTATTTTATATGACATGCAAATTTAAAAAAAAAAATAGCTTTATTGATTAACATCGATAATCATTTCGGTTAATTAACGATCCGATCGACAAAATATTAGATTTGGGAAGGTTGCCGGGCTATAAGGAGGTGTGGCACCGGTAGGGGTTCATATCGGGAGTACTGGGCGTTAAGCAGCTGTTGAGATTGAGGGACTAGTGAATATTTTGGTCTTTTTGGTTGTAAATTTTTATAGAACGGAAATCTGGAAGCAGCAATTTTTAAGCTTCTTGACCAGAAAAATTCAGTAGGCATGTATATTAATATACATATATGTCAGCCCTTCCCCTCCTGTCAGAATAAAATGGTCCGATAATAGCATTTTAGGATTAATAGAAATCGTTTATAACTAGTACCTGGATTTTCCAGTAATGATGTAGCCTTTTATAGCCGACTATATGGTATTAGGTTTTCTCATTGTTGAAGGCCGTAGGTTGCCTATACTTGCTTACCGACTTTATTTGAACTTCGCTTTGGTGGATAGTTGCCTCATTGGCAATCATACGGTTTATTACCACATCTCCTTATTGTATTTACCTGAATAATCCAGTCGTAATATTCCACTGACCAACGGCTATTTCATTCACCTCGGAATTAGGAGAGATCGATAACGTCGAGGGACTGAACTAGTCGGGATGTATTTTAATATAGTTTCCGTTCTCGAACGAAATTCCACGTCAGTAAACAAAATAAAACTGGGATCCTGTAAACATGCAATTTTTGTTTTGCTTTCTTTTAGATGCATTTGCTGTAATTAATTGATTAAAATTACTTGGGTATATATTCCATATGGAGATGCTCCTACTTACAGGAGGCTTATACACCGAAGAAGAAACCGAGCGCCATATGTCGTCATAATGATCGTTAGCATAATATAACGATGACATTTCACACATCGACATTTCATACATTGACATTTAACGAATCGACAAGTTACAAAACATGAATATACAAATTGACAATTTACGAATCAACAGGTTACAAAACATCAATATACAAATTGACAATTTACAAATCGACATTTAACGAATCGACAAGTTACAAATTGACAATTTACAAATCGACATTTAACGAATCGACAAGTTACAAAACATCAATATACAAATTAACAAATCACACAGTTACAAGTTACGAATCGACAAGTTACAAAACATCAATATACAAATTGACAATTTACAAATAGGCAAGTTACAAAACATCAATATACAAATTGACAATTTACGAATCGACTAGTTACAAAACATCAATATACAAATTGACAAATCACACAGTTACAAGTTACAAATTGACAAGTTACGAAGTAAGAATTTTGACCCCGTTGGCTTTCCATAATTGATGACCATCAAAGGTTACGACGATATACATTTCATGTGCAAAATACTAGACCAACGATTCGCGGAATTTTTGATTTAACACAATGAGTGTTGATCATACGACAAATAGGTTTAACAACTTGTGAGAATGGGATATCGCTTGATATCAACTCTCGTTATTTAATTCAAGTAAGTAAGTAAGTAAGTAATTTCTTCTCGTTATTTCATTCAAATAGTAATAATGAACTCGCCGGAGGCTCGTTTATTATTATATTGAAAATAAATAACTCGAGTTGATATCAAGCGATATCCATTCTCACTCGTTATGGAACCTATAAATAATTTCTCAATGTCATCAAAAATTTATAAAAAAAAGACTAAAAGGGTGGTTAATTTAATCTATATAAAGCAGTCACCAAAGTTTCATTAAAACTCCTCAAAGCACTTTAAAAATATTGTCCGAAAACTGTAAAATCACCCCTTTTTAGCTCACCTGGTCCCATAGGGTCAAGTGAGCTTTTCTCATCACTTGGCGTCCGTCGTTGGCCGTCGTCGTCGTCCGTTAACTTTTTCATTGTGTTGTCCCGTGATGCTAGGATATATACGTCTAGAGTTATAATTGCTGTTGAACAGATCTCAATCTGAGCAGCTTAATAACTGTATTTTAATGTTAATGATAGCGGATCATGAGCAACGCAATCTTTTTTTTTACAAAAATCTTCTCCTCTGAAACTTATGGACCAAGTTCATTATAGAAAGAGATAACTGTAAACAGCAAGAATGTTCAGTAAAGTAAGATCTACAAACAAGTCACCATCACCAAAACAGAGAATTTGTCATGAATTCTATTCTTTTCTTTAATATAGAAGATGAGTCTTAGGAAGACGAAACGCGCGTCTGGCGTATTAAATTATAATCCTGGTACCTTTGATAACTTTGTTTAATATGCACTGCAGCACATAGACCAAGGTGAGCGACACATGCTCTTTAGGGCCTCTAGTTTGTTTAATAAATACCATAACTCGGAAACATAAAATCTAAAATTTTCAAAATTCTAAAGGGAGGATGCCTCAATAGATATAAACAATTCACCGAAGTTTATGTAAATTGGTTACCGCGTTTTTGAGTTATTGTCCGACATGCTGACAACGGACGATTAGACGGACGGACGGACGGACAACGGTATACCATAATACGTCCCCGTATAAAAACTCCGGAGTTCACCTCGAAAAAAATTATTAACTGTGACAACAAAAGTACCATAAAATGAAGTTGAAAAGATTATGAGTCCCCTGCACTATGTTCTAAGGACCTTTTAATAAAGAATCCAAAAATTTCTAATTTAATACTGGAAAGTTGTGGTAGAACGTTTTCCGAACAGAAAATTTGCATTAAATTGAAAATGGTTAATTTTAATCAACGTAGTAATATGTTTTGGTTACTTATTGAGAATACATGATACTTTCCTTCATTAAATTACATTTATAAACTAGACAAGTTATTTTTTAAAGTCAAGAATACATTTTTTCTTATTAAAATTTTTGTTAAAAAACCCGGACCATTAAATTTTGTTTAAAAACCCGTACGGTTTCACAGTTCCTCTCGAAAAAACCCGGACAATAACAAACACTGAATTTAATGGTTAAATACAAGGAAATTGTGCTTCTTTGTTACTCAAAACATGTATAGTATTCAAAATAAGATGGATAGTCATGTAATTACGAATTAGCAGTTAATTGACCTGATCGCATGTTTTATCACTCGAAAAAGCCCGATCTACACTCGAAAAAAATGGACAGATTCACTCGAAAAACCACGATCCTAGCCGGACACTATACCTACCGTGAGCTAGTCTTATTCTTACAACGATGTTATAGAAACATGAGATACGGAATGGTAGCTGTGATGTGCTCTTCAATGTTAAAGAGTTGCACACAATGTCGCAAACTACAAAATGGCAATAAATTCAAAATAGGAAATTGTATTTCGTGTGTACAACTATCCTATGCAATACATTTGGAAAATATAAACGCTTACACTATTATAAACAAACCATTGTTTGTATTTAACACACATTTTATTTTGGACGTTTTTCATCTTATTTCTTTTGGCCATATGAATGGTTTTGACTATATACATGTATTTACAATATTTCATTTCCCCTTTTGTTTATTTTTGATGGTTTTTTCAAATAATATTTATGCGAACTTAACGTGCGACTATGTCTGATGACCATGTACACCTTGAAGCAAACTAAAGTACGAAATACCGTGAAAACAATGACTGCCTTTTATGTACTTACGATGATATATTTCCCGTTATTTTATTGCGTAATATAATAATAAAACATTGACACCAACACTACCATTAAATCTTTTCCCACAAATATGTCATGTATAATTGGACTATCATAATTCAGGCGGATCCAGCCATTTTGAAAAGAGGGGTTTCAACCCCCGGAACACAATGCAACGTTCATATAATTGAAAAAAGGGGGTTCTAACCTCCGGAACACCCCCTGGATCCGCCGATGTAATATTAGTTAACAGAATAGACAAGAGAAAATTTAAACTAAAAGCTAATGGAAGACGAAATTTGACTAAAAACATTTAATCGAAAATGCTTAATTTTTCTTTACAGTAAGCAGCCAATTAATTTCACCCATCTTGTTGCTAAAGGTATCCTTTTTGAAATTTACGGAGTTTCTTATCAAGATAAAAAAGGTTAGCATTCAGTATATTTGCAATCATCATTCACTTTAAAGGTATGTAAATCTACTGGCTACATCATCATCTGTAAACTCGTGTGCATTTTTAAGTTAAAGCTATACTGCTCACTCCATTTGTCGAAGATGTTTAGTACATAACTGAACTCTGTTAGATATGCACGTGTTACATAATAAAATAAAAAATCTTCGGGAATGAGACAAACCAGTGAAATTGTATAAATCTTTTTATCAAAAATTGTATTTATTTATCGTATTCAGTTGAATGAATTAAAAACAAAATGAATAAAACAATTTAAGTAATTAGACAAAGTGCTCCTTCACTTCACTGCAGTTGTATATGTCGTTGTATTTGATAATACATATTATTTTACTAAAACGTTATAAATTTTAAACACGTTCTTAGCTTTGTAATCCGAAGTCCATGCACTAAAAAAGATTTTTTTAGTGATAAACCATTTTTCGACAACTTGTAATGATTCTGAAAAAAACAATTAACGATAACTAATTACTAATAATGTACTTACAAATGATCCCATATAAGACTATGAAAAATAATGAATACATTTTAAAAACAAATCAAAATCTCCGGGACTAAAATCAAAACAATCTCCGATTCTTCGATACATATGAATGACTATTGGCTTAGTCCCCCCATAAACCATCCTTACATCCAACTCGGAGGCCCGATCAGGGTAAACTAATTTTATTAAAAAGTTATTGTATATATTTGAACATGTTATATTATATTTTTAATTATGTAATTCAAAAACAAATACCGGGATTCAAAGTTGTTTAAAATTTGAAAAAAAATCAACATAGAAATGTTATCATTTTCCTTAATAGTACCCCCCAAAATAGTTCATCTATAATATGGCGTTTTGACCGACATAAGACACTACAAGTTCCAAATGCATTACTAATATTTTTATTACAGAAAAGTGACAAAAGGTATCGTTAATTCTGTCATGTCCACACGGAGATGTAAGAACAAGGGAGACAATTTACCAATAGCATGTATTGTCTTACTGATCATAGGCCTGTAGGTGTACAACTTCGTGTTTAAATCATTTAACCAGACTAGACTGGTTAAGGGGGGACCATTTTGCTGACGATAAGATCTCAAAGTCATTATTTGTATTATAAGTATTGCAACAAATAATAATCATGTGACTAAGTAAGATTGTCCATCTCGAATCATTTCATATCTAGGATGAAAAATTGTGTCCTGCATTTTTTTTTATCTGACTTTTTATACATAATTTGTCATCCTGCCTATTTTTTTGCCAAATTTCATCCTAGCCCCCCCCCCCCCTTCCATAAATATCAAATGGTAGCTCCCTTATTTTAACTTTACAACACATTTCATTATCAGCGGTTTCAATCTAATTACAAAATGTAATCAACGGTTATCCACATAAAATAATTATTCACGCGATACAATAAATGGTACTTTAAATTGAATAATTAAAGAGAAAAATATATAGATCGGAAATACTTTCTGAATTGTATATTCATATTTTATTATTCAAAATCGTCCTGAGCTGAATATCCATGAATTAATTGCCACCGGAACTTAAATTTCTAAAATAATTAGAAATTATTACATTTACATAATTTATAACATACGAATAATCAGAGATACTGAATTCACTAACTAAAAAAATAAATAAAATATCGATACCTTAAAATGATTAAATCCTTGTGGTAAGATAACGTCTGTCACATGTAAATTCGTCACGTGTATAAAATTAAACTGATAATAATATACATTTATGATTTTTTTTACCGAAATATTGTTAATCATATATGTTTAAAAAAGTACAATAGATTTTATAGGTACGATGCTAAAAAGTATAACTTATTTAGTTTAGTTTATACTTATTTCAAAGAAGTAAAATGATGTACGTAAAGCCTCAAGGTAAATTAGTGAATGCTAATTGAGTCACCCTCTTCAAATAAAGTTATTATTATTATTTTTATCATTATTAAGTTGATAATATAAACTAATAATTGAATAAATAGTGGTAATAATAAAAACAAACATAATAAATCAACACAACACTGACAACTATAATGATATCATAAAACACATGTAAACAACAAATATAATGATATATTGTAAATATAAATAAGAAGATGTGGTATGAGTGCCAATGAGACAACTATCCATCCAAGTCATAATGTGTTTGATTTTGTCAGGTTTAATGGACTTCCCAAAACTTCACATTGATGATCGGTACTTTCTTAATACTTTTACACCGTACCAATCATCGACCTATACTATAATGAATACAAGTGAAACTGCGAGCTACTGCTCACTGATGATACCCCCGCCCAAATATGGATAATTTTAATAGTGTAAAAATATGTAAGTGTTCGCTAAACAGGGAGTTGTTGAGTGATGAATCTGAAAACGCATCACACGGTATAGATAACTAATATAAACCTTGAAACCAAATTTCAGAAATCCTTGTAATGTAATGCGACGAAAAATATTCATAGGACGGACTGACAGATAAAGATAAAACAGTATACCCCCCACTTTTTTAAAGCGGGGGTATAATAAATAGACATATAAGTAAAGAAACAATTATGATAATGCTAATGCTAAAGTATAAGTTAACTTTAGTAGTTGCTTTCTTTTTGTAAAACATTTTTAACAAATTAAAGCCAGCATACTTCTTCATGTTCATACGATTGATTGATTGATTGTTGGTTGCTTAACGTCCAGTTCATGTTCATACGAAAGAAGTCAAATAAATCTGTTTTCTGTATCATTGAATACATATTTTTAAGGCAGAATCTAACTTATCGTCTAGTTGTCATTTAAATTCTAGACATGCCATAAGAAACAGAAGTTCATCTTTAATTTAATTTAAAGATTTTTTTTTAATTTGTTTTAAAATGATTTAAAGCTATCAAGTCTTGCTAGACAGTTACTGCTGAGAATCATTTGAAAGATGATTATTACCACTTTTTAATTATCAACGGCAAAGCTTTGCCACGTACTATTAACGGAGTCTAGCATATCTGATCATTGCATTCATTTTATCCTGATTTATGAAATAACAATTACTTATTCTTTTTAATTTTGTAATCGCAATGATACTGATACTGTTTATATTTTCCTAAGGTACTTATTTTTTGTTGTCATTTATGTGGTAATAGTAGTTTGTTATTGTTTCAGATTTATTTTTGGTTTTGAATTGTACTTAAACTGATTTTGATGGGAAATAATCTGAAAATGACTCACAATGTTTGTAAAAAGAAGAAACAAGTCGGAAAGAATTGGATTCCGGTTTTATATATCAATCCATAACTTTGAAAAAACAGGTTTCAAACGCTCCAAAGGTGTTTTTTCGTTATTTTCCGCATGTTAGGAAAATTTCAGAAAATGGCACGATTTTAACAGACTTTATGTTGATAACTTTCACGGTTCATCAATAAACTTAGATAAAACTACTGTATATAGCATTTTGCTGCAGATTACACCATTGAAGAGCATGAATGTGTTTTTCCTAGGCTATTATAACATTGACTTTTATTTAAAAGTCCTTAATTTTCTTGGCATAGACAAATTTGAGCTATAAACATACTCTTGGGCATGTTGGGGTCAAACAAATCAAATTCATCAGACTGCATGTGAATTATGTCTAAATTCTTAGACTTAAATTTGTCTTGAGTGATAACAAATCAAATGAAATACATATTAACTAGTCTATGTATCGGTAAAATAATGTGCATGCCAAATATACTACATGACTTCATAATCTACATGCCACATGCATGTACTTAATGTCTTTATATAGAAAACTTAATCTCAACTAAGATTTTACCTAAATCACAAGCAATACTACTCCCTCCCCCCATAAAAATTAATGAAGATATTTGACCAGAAACTAATGGGAATAAAAGGAAATTGCTTTATTTTATATTATTTTTTTCAAAATGGCTTTTTTCATACGACCGCAATTTATTATTAATATTATGGTATTGTGGTTTGTGGTTGTCTGTCTTTAAACACAATTTTTGAACAAAACAAAACATTATGGTCAACCAATTTATTTGATGTTTCCTGGTATAAAGCAAAAAATGAAATTGATTTTTGGGGGTTAAGACCCAATCAGTCAAAGGTTAACTTCGTATCAATTACTCATAATACATCCCTTGCAGTGTGATACAAACAACTCATGCGTTAAAAATAAATAACAAGCACACACCATACGAGATTATAGCTTTCATTACTTGGTTTACAGTTTGTTTGTGGCATCTAATATTTCGACATCGATAAATTACTTTGTTGATCTAAAAGCATGCATGGTACAGTGAAACCTGTCTAAACCTAATCTTGCATAAACAAGAAAACCTGTCTTAACCAAACATGTTCCGAAGTCCAGTCATATAAACTGTAATGCGTTGAAAACCTGATTAAACCAAACATCTGCCAAAACCGAACAAAAATCTAAAGTCCCGAAGAGGTTCAGGTTCGATTTAGACAGGTTTCACTGTATAAGAAAAGTCGATAACATTTTGATAAATTGATTCAATCAATAACATTACATGGACTATTTATTTATAACCAAACAATGTCGTTAATTAACAAAATTTGACAGAAAAATCACTATCAAATAATTATGATATCAGTTCGAGGTCGTTCATTTCCACTTCATTTACGTCAAACTGTTTGTATAGTTAATGTCAAGGTCATAGATAATAATAATAATAATTGGTAATATGGCACTGACTATTTGTTGATTTCATTGTAGACTTTATGTATTTGTTTGCATTGTTCTCATTGTTGACCTCTGGATGTCTTGATTTGTTGGTACCTTTGGTTGCTGTCTAATTGACGTATACCACGCACACAGTGGCGTAGCACCGGTGTAGTATTGTAAGCATGTGCTTACAAATAATTGTATACAACACTTTTTTTTTCAATAATGATTTTACTATAATCGTCCCCGACCCCCTGCTTACAATTTATTTTACAGTGGCATATCCTGGTTACTATGTCTGTCTTTCTGTCTGATGACCTTTCTTCGAGTTCAATTTTAAAATATTGTAAGAAAATTTATTTAAATTCGAGAGAAAAAAAGGTTTTCAATTTTGTATCTTGTGGATTGACAATTTGTCGTTTGCATTACTTTAAAACAATGTGTTGTGTGTCGGGTTCTTGGTATCTTATTAAGTCCGTTTACCATGTTTGTTGGACTAAGTTCAATAGCTCTTAAAACATGAACTTAAGCTAAAAGTGGTGGATTGTTTAATTCAGACGGGGTGTGAAGACCGAACTTTTAAACGAAAAGAATATGATGATGATGACGATGATGATGATGACGACGACGACGACGACGACGATGATGATGATGATGACGACGACTACGACGACGACGACGACGATGATGATCCTACTAATTTTTATAGTAAATGTTGACCTATGCACGTCTGTGGTATTCATATAGGCATACTCACGTCCACTCTGTGTTTTTGTTAGATGTATTTTTGCTTTGTATCGATCTGACGAGTTGAGCCCTTTTCAACTGATTTTTATAGTTTGTTCATATGTTGTACTGTTACACCACTGTCCCAGGTTAGGGGGAGTTTTGGCTCGCCTTCAA